GGGGGGGGGGGGGGGGGGGGGGGGGGAGGTGTCCGTCTTCCACTAGGAAAGCGGGACAACAGGAGTCAACTAGTTCTCACCTCCCTCTCACCTGGGGGCTCACACAGACCACCTCTCCCTCAACAACAGGGCCTGCCTGTCACCTTCCTGCCTTGCAGGACACCAGGGCCCAGACTTACAGACTGACTTTCCGAATAACACACTCCTCGGACAAGCAGGGTGACGAGCTGCGAGCGCAGGACGAGGCCATGGAAGGTCAGCGGGCGGAAGCGCTCCTCCATGGTCCAGTCTTCACTCGGGGACTGGTCAGGGTATAGGTTGGGGTAGGGAGTGTATCTGTTACACAAAAACCAGATGCTGCCTCGTATCCCTCAGCAGGGTCACGTCCACCACAGCCTCGTCACCTTCCCATGATCTCCAGCAAGCTCAAGGGCTCACTCTCACCCACTGGGTGCAGTGCTCCACCCCGAGGCTGCAGAGTGCGAGGACCTCACCTCCTCTCCAGCATCTGCTGCAGCAGATCCTCCTTCTCTGCGGGCTCCTCCGAGGCCACATGCTCATCGCACACATTTCGAAGCTCGCTGGAAGGGTAGGACTTCATGGACTGGCCCCGCTTGCGTTGCTCACCGGCACGAGTGAGGATACTGGATTTCTGTGGATGGGGTGTGGGGACAATGAGTCCTTACAGGACAGGGATGGCGGTGCTGGGCACACAAACACAGGAGCACCCATGGGGCTGTGATGTGGAAAGAGCACTTTCCACGGAGCTCAGCAAGCCTTTCAGAGGTGCAGGTCAGCCAGTCCTTGGACTGAATACAAAGCTGATAGGGAAGCCTCTACCACTGCACTACAGTCCCAACTCTGCCCAGCCCAAGTGTGTCAGCTGATCTTGACAGTCAGTCTGACCAGGGTGTAGTGATATGGAAGCAGCCTCTGGGTGTCTATTTCCATAGGACCAGACCCTGAGGGCTTTGACCTCACAGATGGATGAAGAGAAGCTGGGGTCTGGCTGGGGGAAATGGGGTCACATGTATATGCATGCATGTCTGTCTGCTTCCTCCCCACCATGCTGCTGCTATTTCCCCTGCACATCTTCCTGGCCCTGACGGACAGAAAGACACCTCAAAGGAGTCCTTCGAAGTGGTTATTTATTGTTTTGTTTTTTTGAGACAGGGTTTCTCTGTGTAGTCCTGATTGTTCAGGAACTTGCTCTGTAGACCAGGCTGGCCTTGAACTCAGAGATCTGCCTGCCTCTGCCTCCTGCGTGCTGGGATCGCAGGTGTGTGCCACCACCACCCGGCCTTTCTAGTGGTTTTATCTACTGTACCCAACCTCATGGTTTTGCTGGCCTAAGACTCCACCTTCTCTCATTTGGAGAGGCACCCCTCAGTTCTGCAGAGGGAAAACAACTTTTCTCTTACGGCCTCTTGGAGGGACTGTCAATGTGTGTCTGCCCTTCCCAAAGACAGCAAAGGCAACAATGGCCACATAGTCTGCATGAGGGATGGGCCTGGGCTGTGAGCTCAAGCTACCCAAGGGCAGAGACCAGCCAGTGCCCATTCTTCTGGGTACCCAAATGGCATTAGGAGGTCAGTATCTGCATCCCTAGAGCCCAGGGCTATGTCTACAGCTTCTAGTCAATTTCTTTCTCATTCTGTCTGTGGTTTATTGAGACAGGGTTTCTCTAGGTACCCCAGGCTGGCCTGGAGCTCTCAAGGATCCTTCTGCCTAGGCCCCCATTTTCCTAAGTAGGTCAGAGTCCATTTGTGTCAGCAACTCTAGAACCCTCCCAGATGCTTGCAAATTGTAAATAATTAACACCAAGCCTGCTGGCTTTAAAAGGGGGCCCACCCACCTGCTTCCTGCTGCCTACTGGGTCACACAGGAGGGTGCTATAGACTTTCCCTAGACTGACAGAGTCCATGTCCACTACAGCTTCAGAGGCAGTATTAATTACATAGTATGAGTGTTAGGCCAGATGGTCCTTCCTCACTGGCTTTCCCTTTGGGGCCATTTTTTTTTTTTTTTTACCTTGAACTTAATGTTGTTGCTGATGAGCTGGTTGCCCTTCATGAACTCCTTCTCGTTGCCCCGGTTCTCCGTGACCACTGGGAAGGCGTGGTGGACGGTGGTGCGCAGGATGCTCACCAGAGACTGGATACGCGTGTGTGGGTAGACGTACGTCAGGTTGGGCTCCATGATGTCACTGGCTCTCAGCCTGTACAGGAGGAAGCTGTAACAGCCTCAAAGAGACACCACCACCAGGGGCAGGCTGGACTGGGCAGCGCTGCTTCTCCATCTGCACCTGGATCACTGGGGCCTGTCTTCCTCCAGTTTCCACCACCAGGCCTACTACACTGCTCCCCACTGTGTCATGCTACGGCGTCACTGTTACCTCTCCACGAAGCCCTTCTGCTTTCCCAAGGGTTGGCCAGCCACTCCTTAAAACGCAACATCACATGTCACATATCACTGCTAGTATCTAATCATCTTGAAAGTTACAGGACAATTCTGGAGCCCTTGTTTAGACCAGGATGACAAGCCAGAGCCCATGGTTGTAGTGACAGCACTGTGGGGCTGACGGGCTCACAATGCTGAAAATGCTTGCTGCAGGAAAGGCTGCTGACCTGCATTAGCTCATGAGGCCTGCCCGATACCCAGATAAGTGGTCGGAAACACCTGTGGACGTCCCAGTCGAGACATTGTGGTGCTTGGTTGGGTGAGTGGGTGGCTGGTATCACTGCCAGGACTTTGTACAGTCTCAGTGTGAACATTTAGCCAAGTAAAAGCTTGATCCTGTTCTCACAATTTACTTGGCCAGGACACTAAGGAGCCAAAAACTCACAAAGCAGCCTTGCCACCAGGTCCCACCACGCTACCCAGCCTGCTCTCCAGACTCCTAGCCAACTCAAGCTGCTCAACATCCCCAAACACACAGGGGACGTGAATGTGCCTTCTTCTAATCTGAGCAATGTGAGCTACCGTTTCCCACCCTGGGAGGCTCTGTAGCCCTGAGCTTAGAGACTCTGGTGCAAAGATGGATGAAGTGGCCAGCTCTTACTTGTCCATCTCCACCTCTGTCTCCCACTCCAGAAGAGGCACGCCACGCAGGCCCACGTGGATGTCATAAATGCCCTTATTGAAAAAGTCCCCCGTCCACTTGGCCACCTGGAACACAGAGCAGAATCCTGAAGACAGCTCTTGAGCTGAGCCTGGCCTGCAGCCCGCCAGCAGGTGGGGGAAGTGCTCACCATCAGAGTGATCATAATGGGAAGCCCGTATGTGATCTCATTGGTAGACTCGATCAGGATGACCGTGAGACTGATGGTCATTCTCACAACCCCACCCAAGAAAGCTGCTGCACCAATTAGGGCAAAGGTCCCAGAATAGATGTGGCCCAGTCCAATGTAGCTGGTGAAGAGAAAAACAGAACCAGGCTTAGACTCACACTGATGGTGTGGGACCACACTTGTAAATGTGGGCACACATACACACATTACCACACTACCTTTTCAGGATGTTGGCAACTAAACGTCCAAAAGCTGCTCCACACAGCAGCGAAGGCACGAAGAGGCCGCTGGGGACAGAAGTGCCGAAAGTCCAGCATGCCAGCAGGAAATAGAGGGTGAAGAACAAGGCCAAGGTGATGGGGCTGAAAGTCCCTGCAGGGGAGAGCAGACCGAGTCATACTAGCAGATGCCTGCACAGGCCCAGAAGTCTGCAGTGGATTCCCCCAGGCCCTCTGTACCCCAGCCTAGTCACGCCATCCAACACTGGGCTGCCATTACGGAGGAAAGCCCTGCACGGGAGCTGACACCCACGGGGGGGGGGGGGCAGGGGGCGGGGCAGCACCTGACACTCACCATCCTGATGGAAGAGCTGCAAGATGGCAGACTCCTGGGAGTTGAAGAAGAGTGTGGCCATGTCATTGTAGGTATCATTGGGACAGAAAAATGTCTTGATGGTAGAATTCACATCTTCTGATGAGGCCTAAAGAGGGGGATCAAAAAGTCAATAAAAGGCACCTGACCGGGACATACAAGTCTTCAGTGCCATCTCCTAAGAAGTCAAGATGTCGGGCTGGAGAGATGACTCAGAGGCTAAGAGCACAAGCTGCTCTTCCAGAGGTTGAGTTCAATTCCCAACAATCACATGGTGACTGGACAGCTCTACCTCCGGGAGGAGCTGGGGTCTAGCCGGAGGAGGTAGGTGCCCATCTATGCATGGACGCTGGATGGCTACTACGAGGCTCGGCTCGTGTACTCTGAACGTGGAGTGAAATAAGCAGGGTGAGGGTGAAGGCCTTGCTCATCCACACCTTTTTTTTTTTTTTGATTTTGAGACAGGGTTTCTATGTGTAGTCCTGGCTGTCTTAGAACTCAATAGTAGACCAGGCTGGCCTTGAACTCAGAGATCCACCTGCCTCTGCCCCTGGGATTAAAGACGCGTGCCACTACTGCCCAACAACACTTTTTAAAAAGTATTTGTGGGGGGCTGGAGAGATGGCTCAGCGGTTAAGAGCATCGCCTGCTCTTCTTAAGGTCCTGAGTTCAATTCCCTGCAACCACATGGTGGCTCACAACCATCTGTAATGAGGTCTGGTGCCCTCTTCTGGCCTGCAGACATACACACAGACAGAATATTGTATACATAATAAATATATAAAAAAAAAAAAAAAAAAAGTATTTGTGTATGTCTGGGTGAATGTAGGTGGAGGTCACATGACACTGAGCTGGGGTCTCTTATTCTGCACTGTACATGCCTGATGCTCCCACTTCCTGTCCGCACCTCCCGTCTTGCTGGAAGAGCACTAGCACTACAGACACCAGCTGCACACAGCTTTTCTATGGTCATGGGGATCTGAACCCAGGGTCCTGAACTTGTATGGCAAGTGCCGTACCCGCTCAGCCACCTCCTCGGCCTCATCCACACGTGTCACTAAGCACAATAACATCAGGGGTCACCACAGACTTGGTTTCCTCCTTAGTGCAGATTCTGAAGTGACAGCAAAGAGCTCAGAATGAGAGCCCCAGGGACTGTGGGGTGTTGATGCAGATGAGAGAAAAGTGGCTGGCCAGGTCGTCACTCGACTTAAAGCCCCAACTTTGGTTCCAAATAAAGGAAAAAAAATGCTTTATTCTGGATTTTCTGCAAAAGAAACCAACCGCAACATGCAGCCTGGCAGCAACACCATGATCCTGGCCACCTTCCCTCCAGTGCCACTAAGAGAACACAACCAAACAAGGAAGACTCTTTCCTAGTGTCGCAGGCTTCACATTCTTGACACCCTGTGTCAGCATGGCATCTAGTGCCACCTGACTTAGGAGCAGAGGCAGGGCATCTGCAGACGGACGGTCCTGATTTCTGGCTGGTGCTGAGCAGTGGCTGGGCTTCACCTCACTGTTGTCCCTGTGGACATGGACATTAAGGATACAGGATCACCCGAATTCTACTCCACTACTGATGCTGCAGAGATGCCACGTGTGAACACTGTAGCACTGGAGAATGGTGTCTATAATCCTAGCAGGTGAACCCAGCCAGGCAATACAGCAGGATGTGGACTATACCTGGAGGTAGGACAGCGCCCCTGTTGGCAGAGAGGCATGAGTGGAAGGGAACAGTGGACACTTTTGGCTATGACTTTAAGGGACACATTCAGGGTTTCCCAAACCATGTCTGGAGGGATGCCAGTCCCAGAGGTTCTCTGGAAAAGACATGAGATCAGCTGCACTGCTGAGAGACCAGCTGCCGGCCAGCAGAGAACAGACCACAAGACCAGATTGCTTCAACACTAACTGCCACTCTCTAAAGACCCTGGGGAGGTCTTTTACTTTGGAAACTTCACTTTTCCTCATCTATAAAATGAAGTAATACCTTCCCCTTCATGCTGTATGTTACCAGCTGAGGGATATTGGTCACGACCTCACTTTGCCTCTGTTTTCTCACCTGAAAAACGGGGATACTACCACCAGCCAGCACAGTGAACAAGAATAAAGGCGCGAGTGCTGTCAGGACACGTGGAGACCCGAGACACGGAGCACACGAGCTTCGCTAGCGCTGGCTGACCTGCCACGGGCCCCAGGAGTCCCCCAGTCAAGAAAGACACTTCACTCTAGGACAGCCACCCGCTTCTCGGTTCATCTCGCTTGAGCACAGAACGTCTTTTGTTTGTCTTATTATTAGCATTCTATAACAAAATACATTTTGAGAAGCTTGGTCTCATAAATAAAATGTCAGCCCACTTCCTCTACGCTGCCAATCACACGAAGCCTGTGTGCTGCCTTTTGTCCCAGGCATCTGAAAGGTCACCCTTTGCCTGGGTGCTGCTGCCAGGGCCAGATGAGACCCTTGCCTATCGTTGGCCTCTCATCTAAAACATCCTAGGGCTTCACAGACTGCTTCCTGGGGACTGAAGAGTCAGCCTTTCCAGACAGGCTCCCGGGGACTCCGAGAGCTCTGGGCTGCGACTGAGAAACAAAAAGAAAGAGTTCATAGACGTTCAGCAGCTTCCGCTTTGGTGACCAGGCCACATGCTGCCTCCTGGATCATCAGAGTGGACCAAAACACACAAGTAGCGTGCACTCCCATGACCCCCTGAAGGTTGCAAAGGGCAAGTGCAGAGTGGGACAGATGCCAAGGAAAGCAGCCACGCAAGAGCCAGATGCCGGGAGGGAGGTGTCAGCATCATCCCACAAGTGACTCTCGTGTCACCGAGGCAAGGTGGTGGGTGTCATGGCCCTAGGCCAGGTTCCTGCAGGCCTGAAGAGGGATGAGCGGAAAAGGGTCTGTAGAAGTAAAGAGTTAGCTACTGAGCAAGCGTCCCATGAGTGTGGTTCCCTAGAGAGTGGCCAGAATTTTTGACAATGTAGAAAAGACAAGGCAATTGTGCACATCCTCCCAGCTAAAGGACCACGGCACATTCAGTTGCGGGTATGGAACAGCATGGCTCTAAAGAGACACACATTTCTGGATAGAGGATAAAGGCACCAAGTTTGCTGGGGTTACCTGTAGCTGGAACGAGCCATTACCAGTTTGACTCGCAGAAGACAACTGTCGGCATTCTCCTAACACCATGGAGGCCACAAACACCACCACAGTGGTCACCAGGGACACCAACAGGCTCTCTAAGACTCTGGAAAGTAGAGCACAGCTGTCACAATTCAATCAAAAGATGTCTAGGCTTGAGCACGCACAACCACCCTATCCGCCCCAACACCCCTCTCCCAACAGGGCAAGCCTGGCAGCCCTGGTGAGGGCACATGCATCCAGAATTCACTCCAGACTTGCTCCACCTAGCTAGCTGCAATAAAGGGCAGGCAGCGGAAGCAGGGAGCTGTTGCACACACATCACTTCTCTCTAAGGAGCTAAGTGGCTTCTCTTCTCTAAGTCCAGGGCAAGAGTGACCCACGGCAGACAGGTCCACAGCGGGCTTGCTGACCCTCCTGACCATGTGTTAGCAGCAGGTCAGAAGAGGGTGAGCCACCCAGTAACTGAGATGTAAACTCAGCCGCAGCTTCTCTGGCCTTCATAGGACATATAGGGCATATTTATGAGCCTGTTTATAGGCTTAGTCTGGGAGGAGAAACCAAAATGGGTGTGAGAAGCAGGGACTGTTCACAGGACCATCTTCCTTGGGAGAGTGGCCTGCCCACAAGGGGCTCACTGTAGGTACCTGACGAGCTTAGGTTTCGGGTGCACGTTGCGCATACGGTACTTTGCAAGCCTCTTGTTCAGACAGTTGAATGTGGCTCCCAGCAGGCCCCCAATGACCCCCATCACGACGAAGAAACCCAAATCCATAGCTGTCCAGAGGTGACATTTTTTATCAGAGTCAGAGCACTGAGAGAAGGGGGAAGGGAGGGAGAAAGAAAAACCAGAGTGGCCATGAGAACAGGAAGGGAGAGGAACAGAGACAGGAACAAGAGCAGAAGGCCTCGCTTCCCTGCTGAGGGTTCAGGCTGCCCGGGCACACTGCTCATGGGAGCAGTTACGTGTGGGAACCATGGCCGTTCCAGGGCCACCTACCCCTCTGATGTTTACTCAAGAGCAATTTTTATGGGTCACATAAAGCATCCTGGGAGGAAAGATAAGCCATACCTTAAATTCACCAAAGTTCAGCAACCCGGGCAGCTGGAAAGAGCCCCAGCTTCCAAACTGAATCCCAGAACGGAAGAAGTTGAGGGTGAAGGCGGCAGACATGGAACAGAAGAGCTAAAGGACGGGTAACAAAAAAGCGAGAACACTGGTGACATCACCCTCTCTCCTCGACAGTCATCTTACACGTATCTGCGTATGTGGCAGTCAAAGGACAACTTGCGGCAGTCAGTCCTCTCCTTCCACCATGGGAGTCCCAACACCAGCCTGGTGCAGTAGCAAGTGCCTCTACCCACTGAGACATCTTGCCAGCCAGGGAGTTCTTTAAAACCCGTCACTCCCCTCAAAGGGCAGAGATCTCTGTGAACCAGCATCAATCTACCATCTGATGCTGAGCGCTCCCTACAGAACAGGCCCTATGCCCAAGAGGAAAGAGGCCACAACAGGTGACAAGATCAAGTCACAATCCTGCCATTCCTCCCTCCCCAACAGAGACTTGCACATTCTCACAGCAGAAGTTCACAAAGACAGAATAGCAGCTGTCTGGCATGCAGTGTACAGTTGGGGGTGGGGTGGGCTCACAGCAAGAGCACAAAAGCCCACTGTTTAGAGGCTGTGGCTGCTACAACAGGGAAGTCCACAGTCAGCCTGCCAGCTCCAACAAAAGCACAGTTACATGCTCCAAGTGATGTCCAGGTACACTCTGGACTCGTGCTTGCGTCCACAGACAGGCTCCTTACCACTTTCCACGTGAGCCCCTGATTCCAGAAGGACGAGCCCTCCTCCAGACTGAACAAGGTGCCCCCTATAGGGGCCCCAAAAGCTGCAGCAACTCCAGCAGCTGCCCCGGCTGATACAAAGTCCCGCTTGTCTCTATGAGGAAGAGGAGGGGAGGGGGAGAGAATGTGCCTGTTTATTTAAAAGAGCCTTCAGAACATGTCTTTACCCATGAACCTTCTCCCCCACAGTCCATGTCAGAATCACAAAAGAGAAGGTCCTGGGCAGGTAGTCATAACTGTCTGTGAGTCAAACACACCCCACAGGCTTGAGCTTGAAGGTGAGAAACTCTCCAGTGTGTTCAAGGCCTTAACCCTGAGGCACTGCTGGAAGGTGGTGGAGTCTGAGAAACAGGAGTCTAGTCGGAGGAAGTTAGGTCAATTGGAATATACCAAGAGGGTATTGTGGCATAACCACCCCAAGCCACAAGATGAAGGACACTAAAACCTTCAAAACCGAGTGGAGAGTAAGTCTTTCACCCCAGGGACTTGAGGTCAAAACACTCACCCCATGCTTTCAGGGCTAACCTCTTCACCTGAGACCAGGAGCTCCCTGACCTGACCATCTTTAGGAACACGGAACAGGGATCCTGGTTCAGGGAAGAGGATAGGACGTCCAATGGATGCTACTGAACCACGTTTCTCCACCAGAGGCAGAGCCCTGTGAGAACGGGCATGCCTTGTGGGAATATAAAAATGAAGGTGTTCCATAATGCTACGAGGGGAGTAGGGCAGGACAGCAATACACAGACCCACAGGGCTAAGGAGTCTATCTGGCGGGTGCCCTTCCTGGTCTGGGTTTTCAGTCTTGGGCCATCATCTTTGACTGAGCATGGTCCTTTGGTTTCTCATTCTCAGGAGAAAAGCAGAGCTCTTCCTTTTCTGAGTCACAGTGAACCAGGAGTCACATGAACCAGGATAGCATGGCGTGAGGGTATGCTGCGCCTCCTAGAGCTTACCTGTCACTGCGAAAGTAGGGGAAGTTTAGCTGGATCTTCCGTAAGGAGATGCTCTGAAACTGAAATGGGGGAAACAAAGTCAGAGAGGCCACGAGGGCAGAGCACAGGAACCCATGGTCCCCAAGGAGGCCCGTGGGTTTGCACAACTGCACAGGTGTGGTCCCCAGGGAGGCCCTCCTGTCTGCACAACTGCACAGGTGTGGTCCCCAGGGAGGCCCTCCTGTCTGCACAACTGCACAGGTGTGGTCCCCAGGGAGGCCCTCCTGTCTGCACAACTGCACAGGTGTGGTCCCCAGGGAGGCCACCTGTCTGCACAATTGCACAGGAGTGCTGCAAGAAGAAGCATCCAGGACAGTAAGCTGCAATACAAGGAAGTCACCTAGGGTGTGGGAACGTCAGGATATGCCCTGCGCACTGTCAACAAATCAGGAAAAGGGGGACAGCAGAGCTGGGGGCTGGGAGGGACCTAGACCTGCTGCACATGATGGCACTAGCTCTTTCAGGGAATGACACTGGTGACCTAGATTCTCACACAGGCCCCCAAGCCATGTTTGGCCTCTTCCCACTTCCAGGCTCATTTCTGAGAGGCCTGGTACTTGAGCAAGACAGCAAACAAGATGACAGATGGGCCCTGGAGCGAAGGGTCTTTGTCCTTCCCCCACAGCTCTCCCTCAAGTCTCTTTCTTGGAGCAGGGAGCAAAAGGGTCCACAAGCAATGGTCCTCAAGGAGCTGAGACTTCTCAGACAAAATCCCAGGTATCTAAAAAGCCCTTACAAATATGAGCTTTGACCAGGTGTGATGGCCTACAAGTAGGAGGCTGAGCAAGAGGGTCTTGAGTTCAAAGCCAGTCTAAATACCTAGTGAGACCCTATCTCAACCAATCAATGAATGAAACATAGTTTTTCAAAGGATATTGAGTCCTGAGCTATCCCTTCAGCCTCCTCATCTACACTTAGGGGACTAATCACTTATGTAACTACAGGGAAGAAAGGAATTGGGACCCATAGCCCAGTGCACAGGTGACACCTGCCTGGCCCTGAGACTAGGGGTTGCATCACTGCATAGAACGAGCAAGGTGAGCCTGAGATGGTGTTAGTCCACTTCCACACACACACTTGTAGCATGTAAACCCACCAGTCACCCGCTCAGTTCTTCCTCTCCTTCCTGTTTCTATCCCCAGACCTGGAGCAGCATTGCTATACTTTGAAGAGAAACAGGTACTTTGCTGGGATAGGCCACACAGTTTTCACCTCAACTCCAAAAGGCAACAGGTTCTGAAATCGCACTTGCTGGGCTTACCCAGGAGGCCCATTCTGAGAGATGCATACCCTGACCCACCAACCCTTACCTGAGGGAGGCCGGCTCCTACCACAGCACCACTGTGGATCATGGGGCCTTCCTTGCCCACAAAGAGCCCTGGGAATGGGGAGAAAGGAAGGGCACAGTCAGCAGAGGGCCTCTGGCCTGGACTTTGCTATGTAAACCTTCCTCTCAGAAACTAGAAAACACAGGCAAGCATATGACTGACTCTAAAGTAAAAGCAGAGCCAGGGAGGAGACAGTTCAGTCAGTGAAGTACTTCCTGTACAAGCTTAAGAACCCAACAGAAAAACCCAGAAACAACAGAGTGCATCTGGCCTCCAGCACTGGAGCACTGAAGGCAGGCCCCCCAGGGTTCCCTGGTCAGCAAGCCTAGCTTAGCCTAACTGGAAAGTTCCAGGTCACTGAAGAGATCTTGTCTCAAAAAACAAGCTGGGTAAATTCCTCAAGGCCAACATCTAAGGTTGTCATTTTGTGGCTGTTGTTGTTGTTGTTTACTCCGAGCTCCACCTCTGTCCCACACACCTGGGCCAAGTCAAATTCCCTTCAAACAAAGGATAATAGTTCTTATCTTTAAATTCCAGTGCCAGGAAACCACAGTCTGTGGGTGAGGCCCACCCTACCTGCTGACTCCCTGACTATTTACTGATGGTGCTGTCAATCAAACCCACAGCTTTGGTATCCTGGGCAAGTGTTCTACCAGAGCCCTCTATCTGCTAACTTCTGGTTTTTGAAGTACATCTTACTATGCAGCCATGGTTGGCCTGGAACCTGCTATGTAAAACCAGCTGGGCTCAAACTTGAAGCAAGTCTGCTACCTTTGCCCCAGGAGTGCTGGGATTACAGTTATGTGCCACTGTAAGGCATGGTTTAGTTTGATTTTTACATATTACCAAGGCTGTCCTTGAACTCACTCTGTCTCCTAAGCAAGCACTGAGTTCACTCTGTTCTTGAATGTTGTGAGATATTTTGATTGCACTCTGACATTCCTAAGATTGCCCAAAAGTTTACCTTGAATCAGAGGGTGGAGCCAGCTACTTGCTGACCAATATTAGCCATAGAGGTTTTGGAAGACTGAGGACATATAGAGATGTAAGAAGTAGTAGAGATGGCTTCATGAGAGACTTGTGGCATTACTTAGATTAATAGAAATGGGTTAATTTAAATGTAAGAGCTAGCTTGTAATAAGCCTGAGCCATCAGCCAAGCATTTATAATATGAAGCCTCAGGAACTGGCAGACGGGAGAGAAATGTCTAGTTATACTTCAAAGTGGCCCTTCAAAGCTTAATCCAGCCTGGTCCTGCTTCCTGATGCCCACAACATACTCCCTCTATCATGAACTGCCCATGTCTTTCCAGATATGATGGACTGAAATCCTTCTGAAACTGATCAAAACCAATCCCTCCTCCTTTGAGTTGCTTCTGTCACGTACTGGGTCACAGAGACAAGCAACTAACACACACAGTAAGTACAGGTACCAGGTGAGGAGCAGCCATGAGCCCACATCTAATCAATGCACAAGATGGCAAGAGTAGAAAGACTCTCCTCACCTCCAGCCACACTGAACAGCACCCCAAAGACTTTGCAGAGCAGGGTCCGGAGCCGGACGATTCCTGGCACCTTCACACCATTCAGATAGCACTTGATCTCAGGGATTCCAGAACCCGCTGCCACTGGCTGTCGGGGAAGGAAGCACACAAACAAATGAAAAACCCACTCTGCTGTTTACACCCAACAAGCCAGGAAACTAAGCAGGGACACCCACTATTGTCCTCTCAACACCCACTCCTGAGGACTTGTTCAACCACAGACGCTCGACTACAGCCTGACCTCTGCCTCAGCGTTTTAACAGGTTCCTACATGTGGATCTAACCATGTGGGACCTTTCAACAAAACTGCAGAACCACTCCCCAGATTCTGATCTACACACCAGTAAACTGCTCTCTAGGGGATTTCAGGGTGATGAGGATGAAAAGCAACTTTACCATCATCCATGCATTCCTCATTAATCTCACCAAGCACCAGAGGCTTTACTTCTAGAAAGACCTCCAGGGGAACAATAGAAAATTTCTGCAAAAACCTACAAGCCAACCTGTTTCCCAATATGTGGCTGAAGAACATTAAGTGCACAGATCCAGCCTGGTCTACAGAGTGAGTTTCAGGAAAGCAGGGCTACACAGAGAAACCCTGTCTCCAAAACAACAACAACAAAAGTACATATAATGTTCACAGTCAATTTCCAAACCACCTCACCTCTATCAGGACGAGAAGGCTCGCCAGGAAGACAAAGGTCAAGTTAAAACCCAGGAGTTCAAGGAGGGACAGGGCAAGGCAGCCTTTCTGACTGCACTCCTCCACCGCTAGAGGCTGGGTCAAGGAAAAGGCTCTCGGACGCGTGCCCACAGAGGCGGGGCAGCCAGACAGCTGCTCAGTGCATACCTCCCTGTGCCCCACATACAACTTTTAAACATTTACATGTGTGTGTGTGTGCGCGCACATGGGTGTGTTAAAATAGGTGTATATGCACTTGTGTGCGGGTGCCCGAAGAGGCCAGAAGAACGTGTTGGATCCTGGGAGCTGGACTTACAGGTGATAGTGAGCTTGTGAGGTGGTTGTGGGTACTGGGCACGAAACTCTGGTCCTCTGGAAGAGCAGCAAGTGTTCCTGAGTGCTGGGCCATCTTTCCAGCCCTTATAACAACCACTTTAGCTGGGTGCAGCAGCGTGCATCATTACTCTAAGCAGAGGCCAGTGGGTCTCATGAGTTCAAGGTCAGCATGGTCTATGTAGGCACATTCCAGGGCAGTAAGGGTTAAACAAGACCCTATCCCAAAACAAACTAAGAATAGTCACTTTAGGGGCTGGTCAAATAGCCCTTTGGGTAAAGGTGCTTGCTGCTGGGCCTGACAGCCTGTGTTTGATTCGAGACACACACGTTCCTGAGATGACAAGTTGTCCTCTGACCGCCATACACAGCACCACGTATACATCCAACCCCATACACAAAATAAATTAAAAACTTTAACATTATGGAATTCCCCACCCCAAACATTAAAAAAGTGACCAACCCACCCCCAAGCCCAACTTGAACAAACCTCAACATGATACCCTTTACGGCTTTGGCTATCACTAAAAGTAAAGCTATACCCCTCAAAGCTTCCTCTTCCTCCCTCCCACTCAGGAAGCCGCTAACCTGAAACTACTGTGCCCCACTTGCTGAGTGCCTTGTGTCCCCACAGCTCTCCACTGTCCCATCACACAGTGTTTCTCAGTGCGACACTGCCTGGGAATTAGCCATGTTGGTACACACAGCTGTGGCTTGTTTAGTTTAACTTCCGCATACAGTTACAGTGTATGAATGAACCATAACTTCTCCTCCCCTCATCTGGTGACGCAAACTTCTGCTGTCACAAAAGCCGTCTTTAATGAATCTAAAGTCCACATCGGAGAAGTGATTTAAAAGCCACAACAAAGGGATGCGAAAGCTCCTGATCCTTGCCAGTTTTCTGGCTCTTTCATGGCTTCCTCTGGACACTCCTGGGGGGGTTGATTTTGTTCTGATATGATATAGGCATTCTTCTAGATGTGTGGAGAGGAACTGTCTGCCTGTCTCTCTTGTGTGTACCAGGGACTGAAAAAAAGTCTCTAAGTCGGGCGGCGGTGGTGGCGCTCGCCTTTAATCCCAGTACTCGGGGCAGAGGCAGGTGGATCTCTGTGAGTTCAAGGCCAGCCTGGTCTATAAGAGCTAGTTCCAGGACAGGCGCCAAAGCTACAGAGAAACCCTGTCTCGAAAAATGAAAAAACAAACAAACAACAACAAAAAAGAAGGCTCTGTCCATGCTATACACAATAGCTCTCCCACTGTTAAATCCCTGGCCCTCTGTTCTGCTTTTCATTTTGAGACATGGTCTACATTGCCCAGGCTGGCCTTGAACTTGCACAGCTCCAGCCTCAGCCTACCCAGTAGCTAAGATTACACTGCACACGAAGAGGCTTAGCTCTGCTTCTTAATGCAGGGAAAACCTACCCCAGGCTGTGAACTTCGGTTTTCCTTGATCTACAGCATTTTCTTGTTGTTTGGGAGTTTCTTATTAGATTCATAGATCGAGTATTTACTTTAAGTTAAATAGAATATTTACTTTAATGTGGTCAAGCTTTAAGATCAAGGAAGATGAGGTCTTTGTCTCCGACCTGTGTCTCTCAAGTTTTTAAGAACTTACACCTGCCATCAATTAAGTCTCTTGCTTTGCTCTTTTACATCTCCAACCCAAAACCAGGACAGGTGGTGCAGACCTCTAACGTAATCCCAGCATTTGGGAGGCTGAGGCAGGTCTATCAGGAGTTTCAAGCCAGCCTCTGCCATACAATGAGTTTGAGGCCAGCCTGGGCTACAAGAGACCCTGTTTCAAAAACACAACAAAACTAGAAGACAACACTGCCCTCAATCTATCTGGAATTGAGCTTTATGAACAGGGATCTACAATCTTCCATGTGGACAATGACTACCAAGGCCCAGCATCCTGTATTGAGCATCCAAGCCTTCCCCCGCTGCTAACCTTGACTCTAAGTTTCTACACTTCAACCTGCGTGGACTGCTCTCTGCTTCTTTAGCTGGTGTTCCTCTACCAACAGGCAATGTTTTGTTGGGCTCTGTTGTCCTGCTGGTAGTAGGACCGCAGGCCTGCTTGTTATTCAAACTAACTCAATGACCTTGGCTTCTTTCAGAGGGCTGTAAAAAGAGCAGGGCTGAGTTCTGTGAAGAATTCTCGGGAATTCTGACTAGAACACTGAATGCATACATGGCTGTGGGAGCAAAGACTTCTCTGGGCATTTATGTCTTACCCACCTAGAACATCAATACACTAATTAAAGTCTTCCTTTCCTAAGCTGGACATGGTAGCGCACACCTTTAACTCCAGCACCTGGAAGACAGAGGCAATGGCAAAGACAGAGGCAGGTGGATCTAAGAGTTTGAGGCCAACCTGGTCTACATAACAAGTTCCAGGACAACCAGGACATGAAATTCTGTCTCAAAAAGGCCATGCTCTCCTGTCCTTTAGTGAGAATTAAACCTCTTGGCTGAATAGCTAACAGTCTTTCAAATACCACGTTCACTGTTAAAGTGAGTCTCAGGAAGCCATGGGCCTGAAACAGTGGAGCCGCGGAAAGGATACAGGTTTGAACCACTCCGAACTTGAGCTGGGTGAAGAGTCGCACAGAGAAGTCCACAAAGAGACCCACCTGTGAAGAGGAAGAGACAGTCACAGTCTTCACCGCACGGTAAGAGCCTCACCTTCCCTCACTGCACTCCCAGCGGTTGCTCACCGCACCAGCAGCAGGGGGTGAGCTCTCTGCTTGTCCCAGATCTGCCCCAGTCTGGCCCCACTGCCTCTCCAAAGAAAAGAGGAAGAGGAACAGAGGAAAAGAAGAAGGCACAGAAAGGATGGGAAGAGTCACGCGGGGAGCCAGTCACTCAGCAATGTTGGGAGGATTCAAAAAAAATAGCCACAATGTCTTCAGTGGTGCCTAGCTGGACAAGCATATCGCTTTGAATGCTACTTAAAGGACATTTACTTGGGCATAAGTGGCTTGGTAGTCTTATTTTCTAAGTCATTATTTTGACTAAGAATCAGTATCAGTCACTGGCTACCTGAAAACCTATACGCTACTGTTCCACTGCACAGTTTAAGGGAGGCCCAGGAACCTTCTAACTTGGGAGAATGGGAATCAAAAGCTTCTTGCTTAAACTCTGCCCTCCCTCCAGCTAATGCCTAGAAGGAGAAAGTGGAGACAGATCAAAGGGTGAGGGAAGGGCTAGGGCTGCAGTGGCTACAGAATAGAGAAGGCTGCCTTCTTAGTGCCTATGGGGATGAGGATATTGATGAGGCAGTCAAAAGCCTAGGACAGTCACAGGAAAAACTAACATCTGCATGCAAATGATGCCACAACTAGAAATACACAGGACAGGTGCTTTTGTTCAAGTCCCCACCCCCACCATGCACACTGACATTATATAAAACAATTAAACCAACCCAATTCCATCCCCCAAGATAACCTTAGAATATTAGCAAACAGGCCTCCCGACTGTTGCTGCCACTAGATGGTCCTTGTGAGTTCACAACAGTAAAAATCTCATGGGTACCATGTGAATGGAAGCTGACTGTCCCTTAGGGCTGTGCGACATGAAACATCTATCCATTACCTAGGTGTGTCATGGAGAGTTAAGCCCAAGACTTGTGGCCAAGACCTGAGAAAGGCAGTAACAAGGCTGAGCCCCTCTCTGTCATTTTCCTGACAGACTTGGCATGTGTCTTCCCACTGGATGTTGACTTTTCCAGCTTCTCTTCTTTGGTTTTAGTGATGTTTCAAGTCCATAGTCACAGCCCCAGACGTAACTGCTACCATTATCTTGGTGATATGCCCAGCTTTCCTGTCTGTGATCCATCTGTGAACCTGGGGAATCTAGGAGCCCTGTTCATCCTGTCATACCCCTTCACCTCCCACGGCCAGCACAATTGTGAGCAGGACAGTGTGACCTCAACATCACTGGGCTCTATCTGCTATGTGCTACCTGCCACTGCCTCACTTAGCCAGGCCGGGTCGTGCTCTCTAATCATATCATCGACAATAAGCTCTGACCAAGCAAGTCTTGAGTGCTTTGATAGCCCGGCGCCTGTGACTCACTTTTGTAGTCCAAAGCAAAAAGTAATGTGAAAAACCAGAAGGAAAATTAATCTTCAAAAGAACAAGGGAAAAGGAAAGGCAGTCCACCAGGGTGACAATTGTCCTGGTGCTACAAATGTCACAGTGACAGATGACAAGGGTATTCACCAGACAAGGCTTTCCCTCCGACCCCCCAACCCGCCCAGCTTGCCATCTCCCCACATCCCACTGCTCACCAGCCCAGTGCAGACGCCAATGGCAAACACCACCATCCATTTCACTGCCTCATATCTTCGCGCTTTCTGTTCACAAGGGAAAAGAACGGGTCCATTAGTGACAGGAAAAGGATGCATCTTGGCTAACCAACTCTAGACTAAATCTACAGAGACAGCAAGCTTGGTGAGGAAGGACAACCTCAGGTGCCTCACAGTGACACTGATGAATCCCACAGGGCTGCATATACTGACTGGAGGAACACTGGATGGCAAGAGGAAGTCTAGGGATTTTAGATATATGGGTGGGACACACAAGTGCCACCACTGTGTGTGTGACCATCTGGGTCCTGGAGATCAAATGCAGGTTGTCAGGCCTGGCAGCAGGAGCCTTTTCCTGCTGAGACATCTCAGCAGCGGGGTCTAGGCATTTAAATGCCCCTCTTTCATAAGAAGACTTAAAGAAGAAAGAGAAAGGACATTTACTGGGTCCCAGGAGGACAGAAAAGAAGCTGTGAAGACCTCTTCAGCCCTAAGAGACCAAGAATTGTGGGCTCACCTTATTATCCATGGTCTCCAATACCTCCAGGTAAGGGTCATTGATGCAGCGGTCATAGTCCAGACTCTGAAATTACAGAGTGATAATGGCACACACGAAGAAGCGACATAACCTAACACTAGAAGAGCTCCGCTTTCCTCCTGCAGCATCTGCAGTGCCAGGGAGGGCTCAGTGGAAACGCAGGCTCTGCCCCTGTGGCAGGCTGCAGGATCTCCACGTGACTGGGATCCCCAGGTGAGGCACATGTACAGCGAGACCCAGCACACTGCTTCGCTCCGGAGAAAGCACGCAGTGGCACAGCTCTAGGGCCTGGGAGGTCATGCCCAGTGGTAGGGTAGGGTACATGAGGCCGTGTGCCATCCCAGCACTGGGAAAAAGAAAAAGACAGACTTTCCTGTTTCTACAAAACAGTTAAAGATCTTCAGCTATCACCAGGCTTGTCCAACTTATTCCTTAAGTGTGAACAAACTTTCAATTAATCAGAATCAAGTTAATCCAGACAAACTAATTCTAATTCTCTTTATAGGTGACTTCCATGAAAACAAGGCTAGCCACAAGGCAGACCCAGATGGGCTATCTTTAAAGCAACCTGTCAGTTATGTCAGAAGGGGCCCAGCTTCAGCCCAGCTCCTCCAATTTCTACACCTAAGGCAGCAGTCCTTCAGCCATGCTCCAGAGACCAGACATCTCAGACCATGAGCACCTGCGCGAAGGACAGCCTGAGCGACATCCAGAGGGAAGGATGACTTCATTTCTAGGTACCACAAGAGAAGCGGCGGTCTGTCAACAAAGAAAAAGCCCAGCTGTGCTCTCCCCGGCCCTCAACCACCTCCACGGCCACATCAGCTAATAAGCAAGTGGACATTGGCCTGTGGCCTTACTCCCAGGTGCGAGTTCTAGACCAGGCAAATAAAGGAGCGATGTGTAATAATTTAATCCAGCCGTGACTGCTGGGAGCAAGTCCAAACCCCCCCCCCCCACACACACCAGACAGGGTTTCTCTGTAGCTTTGGAGCTTGTTCTGGAATTCCCTCTATAGACCAGACTGGCCTTGAACTCACAGAGATCTACCTATCTCTGCCTCCCAAGTGCTGGGATTAAAAGCAAGCACCACACCGCCACACACACACCCAAATTCCTTCTTTATAAGTTATAGAGTAACGACAGATAACTAGTAAATCAATTATCGCACATCTCAAGATTGGTAGCAATCAAACCATTAAAACAAAGTCATCACCAGATATGGAAAATGTTCAGACTCATTAAGGGGAAAAGAAGTGATTAAAAAAAAGGCAAGGTGTAGAGGCTGGAGAGATGGCTCAGCAGTCAAGAGCACTTGCTGCTCTTGAGGCCTGAGGTCAACTCCCAGCATCTACATCAGTAGCTCACAACACCCTCAGCTGACACTACTCTTACGTACACAAATCTATACATATACACATAACTTTTATTTATATAAAAAATTTTTTAGATTTACTTTATGTATATGAGTATTTTGCCTGTGCATATAAATATACATAGATATACACACATGTATGTATATGTATGTGTGTGTTGTACCCATGCACAGGCCTGGTGTCCTTAGATGTCAGAAGTGTTGGATCCCCTGGAATTAGAGTTTCAAATGGTTGTGAACCATCATGAGGGTGCTGAGAACAGAACTCATGCCTTCTGTAAGAACAACCACCAAGCCAACTTTCCAGCACTATATATATAATTAAAAATTTTTCTTTAACGCAAGAAAAAAAACGGGTGTGGTGGCACATGTATTTAATCCCAACACTTGAGAGACAGAGACAGGCCTCTGAGTTCAAAGCCAGCCTGGTTTACATTGTGAGTTCTAGTCTAGTTTGGGCTACATAGTGAGACCCTCTCAAAAAAACTGAACAAAAAAGCAACATGCAGAATAAAATGTATAACCAAGGGCCAGGGATGTAGCCTAGGGAGGTACATAGAAAGTTGGTTATTCAGCACCATGAAAACAAATCTAAAATGTATGATACAACCGTATTTTGATTTAACAGAATTAGGCATACGGAATGGGAAATCATCTCAATAGAGGGTTTTGGACATTCACATCTGGGTACAGAAATTCTCTTTTGGTGTGTGCTTTTTTTCTTAAGACAGAATCTCATGTCACTCAGGATGGCCTCAGACTTACTATGTGACCAAGGATGACCCTGAACTTCTGCTCCTCCTGCTTCTTTCTGCCAAGGGCTGGGATGACAGGTGTACACCATCATGCCTGGTTTGTGCAGTGCTGGGATGGAGTCCAGGACTTTATGTATGGCCACTCAATCATTCTATCTTGTAAACTCTAGGCTGATTGGGTTTTATATCAAAAAAGATCACTGGGACTCAGAGAGATGCTTCAGCTGTTCAGTGCACTGGCTGCTCTTCCAGAAGACTCCAGTTTAGTTCTCAGCATCAGGTCAGTGGCTCACAACTGCTAGTAACTCCAGTTCTAGGGGACTTGATGCTCTCTTCTGGACTCAGCAGGCACCTGCATTTGTGTGTGCCTACCCACACACATTAAAAAATCTTTATAAAGTAATCCTTTTCTGATTAAAAAACAAGAACAACACAAGAAGAAAATCTGCAAGGAAAGTGGATTCATTCAGGAGAGACTAAATGTATATACAGACTTAAGAAAACACATACAAACTGTCTTAGGGTTTCTCTTGCTGTGAAGAGACACAATGACTACAACTCTTATAAAGGAAAACATTTAATTGGGGTGGCTCACTTATAGTTCAGAGGTTCAGTCCGTTATCATCATTCTGGGACATGGTGGCATGCAGGCAGACATGGTGCTGGAGAAGCAGGTTAGAGTCCTACACCTTAGAGGCAACAGGAAGTAGTCTGAGACACTTAGCATGGCTTGAACATAGGAGACCTCAAAGCCTACCTCCACAGTGACACGCTTTCTCCAACAAGGCCAGACATACTCCAACAAAGTCACACCTCCCAATAGTGCCATTCCCTATGAGCTTATGGGGGTCAGTTACATTCAAATTACATACACACTCTAAGAAAGTCTATTAGAATAACTACTTTCTAGGAACAAACAGGAAAATTAAGATGTTGTAATCTATCGGTCTCTTTTCATGCTACAGTGAAATGCCAAAGTGGTCTTCAGACCCTTGGGTCTCCAGTATGTGAAGAGTGCCTTCTGGATGCTACTGCAATGACTGAGCTAAGAGCTGTGCCCCTAAAGAGAACCAGGATGTGGCTGGTCACCACAGAGACTGAGACATGATTACAGAGTTCAACTTTCATACAGGTACATACCTGCAATCCAGCACTCAGAACAGTTTAAGGCCAGCCTGGGCTACAAGGCAAGACCTAGTCTTGCTTAGCTTTCTGTTTTTCTCCTTATCCTTCCTCCTCCTTTTGTCATACTGGGATCAAACCCAGGACTTTGCTCATCCTAGGAAAGTATTCTCCCTCTGAGATATATTCCTAGGCTCTGTGATACTGTGTCTCAAAGAGAAAAGAGAAGGAGGGGAGAGAAAGTTTCATTTCTAACCGCTGACCTCCGGGAGAAGAGCTGCAGACTAAGTTGCTTGCCAAGGATCCCACCAGTCAACCTATGTCATGCTCGAAGGGTGGCTCCTCACGAGAGAGGATGAAAGCTCCTCATACCTCGCCTGCATACCATACCCTCTACCTGCCTGTACATGTATACACCTTTTATTATACCCCTTGCTAATAAACAAGTTGATCAAAACCACATATTCCTGAGTTCTATGAGTGGCTCTTCCAAAATACCAGATTGGGGCAGAGGGACAATCTCTCTCTCTCTCTCTCTCTTCATTATTTTTTGAGACAGGATGTAACTCTGGCTATTCTGAAACTCACTCTGTAGACCAAGCTGGCCTCAAACTCACAGAGATGAACCTGCCTCTGCCTCCCAAGTGCTGAGAATCCTACCACTTCCAAACAACATCTGAAGGGAGGCAGTCTTGTGGACTCCTCAACCTGTGGCAACTGTGGCTAACTCCAGCCAGTCACTGTCTGCTGGAGAACTCCTTGGTGTGTGGTATTTAAGACTCGTGTATCTGGTGTCAAGACAGGGTTGGGTGAGAATAAGAGGAAGCACTTTCTCTGAAGCCTCTGTCTACCAAGGGCAGGATGCGCCACAGGCAGTCAAATGCTGGAAATCCCTCTCCAGAACTGTCAACAGGGGAAGATGATGGAGCCTTAGTCACAAGGCAGGATGAAGACCTAGTAGATAGCCCCAACTTTGTCCCAAAGTTTGTCTGTTCTTCAAACTCAGTCATCTGTCTCATCTCACCTGATATCCATGTGCAATCCAACAGAGATGCCTCTATTTTAAATGTCAATTAAAAAAAGTAAAATCAAATACTCTCTTCTGAAGGTGCCTATCCATCCTCCCTCTCCCCTGAGGAGAAGGCTATCTTATCTACTTTTCAGCTGTGCCTAGCTCCTTTTAATCCAGCCGTGACCAGTTTATTTCCCTTCAGGGAGGAAAGGGAATGGTCTTTGTCCCATATCAGGGCGCCACAAATAAGTTTCAGTTGTCTAGAAGAAGCAAATCTACTGAGGCAGAAAGATTAATGGCTACTTAAGGTAGGTGTGGTGCTAATACTAATAGATTGCTGGGCTGAAGGCCATCTAGGTCTGCAAAGAGTGACCCTGTCTAAAAATAAATAAATAAAACCTGGCCAGGTGGTGGCACAAGCCTTTGCCTTCAACCCCAGCACTCAGGAGGCTGAGGCAAGCAAATGTCTGTGAGTTTGAGGCCAGCCTGGTCTACAGAGTGAGTTCCCGGATAGCCAGGGCTATTACACAAAGAAAAACCAGTCAAACAAACAAACAAAAAGCTGACTAGATGGCTCAGTGAATAACGTGTGAAGAACTGACTCCCCAAAGCTGTTCTCCGTCCTCCATCTGACCCTCAAACACAGCACCTCTCGGCAACAGCATTAAATTTTATTTTTTATATGTGTGAATGCTTTGCTCGCATGCATATATGTGCACCACACAAGCATACCAATTCCCCACAGAGTCCAGAAGGGAACATCAGATCCCCCTGGAACTGGAGCTACAGTCTGTTATGAACAGCCATGTGGGTGCTGGGAATGGAACCCAAGACCCCTGGAAAAGTGCTCTTAACTGCTGAGCTATCTCTCCAGCCCCTAATAATAAATTTTAAAATTTAAAAGAAAAAAAGAAAATGTCATTCCCCACCCCCAAATAAACACAGCAGCTGCTCCATCAGGAGCAAGAGGAATGATGTTCAGTGATTGTTAATGAGTACAGGTTTCCTTCCAGGATGACGACAATGTTCTAAATTGACAAGTATACTTCTGTAGATACACTAAGAACCACATAGAACGAGCTACGTTTCATTGTTGTTTGCTTTTTGAGACAGGGTTTTTTTTTTTTTTTTTTTTTTTTTTTTTTNGTTTTTTTTTTTTTTTTTTTTTTTTTTGTATAAAAGCCTTGGCTGTCCTGGAACTCATTCTGTAGACCAGGTTGGATCCATCTGCCTCTGTCTCTGGGATTACAGGCGTGCGCCACCATGCCCAGCTGGAATGGTCTACTTTACTGGATGAACTGCACGACCTGTGCCTGAACACCTCAGTCAAGCTGCTGAGGGGAATTAGAAGCAAGGGCAACCCCAGGGAACCTCAGCTGGTACAAGGTACCGGGGAATCTATGACCTTGTCCAGCAGAGCAGGACTAACCTTTTATTTCTGCTATATATATTGTTCTTTTGTTTGAGGAATGAACAACTCCCCCATCTCCCTCAGCTCCACAGTTGAAATCGTCAGTATTTTGTTTTAATTATTTTCATTCATTTACATAATATATTTTAATGATATTCAACCTCCCATTATTTTCTTTTGTTCCCTGGCAACTTTTTTCCAATAAGCTTTGTATAGCTTGTCTTGCTGTTTGTGGCTATGAATAAAAAGTTTGAGGCCAGCCAGGGCAATATGAAACTTTGCCTCAAATTAAAAAAAAAATTTATATACACACACACACACCTTTTTTTTTAATGAGAGTTTTGGGTTTCTGTCTTTTTTTTTTTTGGTTTACCGAAATGTGCCACCGTAGCCAACATTTCAACAGAAGGGTTTTCCAGTCGACCCTTCGCTGAGCAGACTTTCCTGATTAAGTATCAGAACGGATTTGCTCTTGCATACACAATGCTCTCCACAGCTAATATGTGAAGATGGTCAATTGGGAAATATTAAAGATTTGCCGGAAAAAACATTTACCTATAAAATTCACATGAGGAGGCTATCAGACTAAGGCAAGTGAGCTACAGATAGGAGTGACAGTCTTGGTAAGGACAGGGTTGATGAAGCAGCTTTTGTGGGTTCCCAGAGGGGGGCTTCATATCTCAAGCCCAGTGCTGGACTAAAGAAGCACCACAACACTGGCCCCCACGCTCTTAAAAGTCCCATTCTTGAAACTGGAAACTATAATCAAGAACAGGTCAGAGTCCGGAGGTGGTGGCACACACCTTTAATCCCAACATCTGGGAGGCAGAGGCAGGCGGATCTCTGTGAGTTTGAGGCCAGGCTGGTCTACGGAGTGAGTTCCAGGACAGTAAGGACGGTTGTGCTGAGAAACTCTGTCTCAAAAAACCAAAAAATTAAAAAAAAAAAAAAAAAGTTAGAATGAGCCAGGCAGTGGTAGTGCAACCTTTAATCCCAGCACTTTGGGAGGAAGAGGCAGGTGGATCTCTGTGAGTTCAAAGTCAGCCTGGGCTACAGAGCGAGTTCCAGGGACAGTCAATGCTACACAGGGAAACCCTGTCTTAAAAAACAAAAGGTCAGAATAAAGAGAAGCAAGGCCTCCTAACAGCTCGCAAACACGCCTCTGTCACGAGCACTCATAGTAAAGAGCTTCAACCTTGGGGTAAAAGTTTAACGGCAAACACGCTCTGTATCCAGGCATTAACACCAGACCTTGTGTGGGGGTTAAGGAGGGAATGGACTTGCTAGGTGGCATTCCCAGGTCAGTTATCTCTGCCCCACTCACACCTGAGGACAGAAGGTCAAAGAGCATCCCTGGCTGGAGGTCTGAAGGGGCCAGGCCTCTCACTACTTCAGTCACCCAAGACAGCATCCGAATACCTCACCTCATAGTCTTTCCTCGGAAGGATCTCATCCTCCTCTTCCTGTGTCTCCCCAAGGATGGTCTAGAAAAACAGATGCACAGAATGGAGACCTTTGACTGATTACGGGTGGAAAGAAGGAAGTCTTACTAACATCCAAGTCAGCGGGAGCCATCATCAAAGAGGAACAAAATTTCAGAGACACATTTGGGATGGTATTTAGTCACTAGCTGAGCGCTACATGTCTACTGATTGACACATTCTCCCAATCACAGCGCTCACCTTCAGGACATCTGAAAGATGTCTGATGGCAGCTTAGTGAGGACAAAATTCGGGTTTCATTGACAGCACACGGAACATGAAATCAGCGGGAATGTGTCAACTCTGAGAACACAACTCAAGTTTTCCCAGGTTGCTTTGCAGGGGAAAGCCGGGATCATCAGTGACCCAGAAAGAGTGGAGGACAGAATAAGAAACGCCTGGAGAAACTAAACCAGCTGCACAAGCATCAAGCCCTGCAAAAGGCCTCATTCTCAAAATGCTTGCTTCATTCAAAACTCCGATGCAAATAAAAGAAAAAAACACGGACGGCATTAACCCAAGCTGGCCGAGATCCCCCCGCCTCTGGCTCCAGAGAGAGGGGATGAGAAAAGAACTCGGACTCGAGCACGCACGCGAAGCAAGGCGGATGCTCGCCGAGCCGAGGCAGCGGTCCCCAGGGCCCCACCCGCAGACACCTGCCGGCGCGGTTCGGCTCGGCCCCACCCCCGGCAACGCCTCTTGTCATCCCGGAGCGACTGCCCCCTCCCCAGCCCCGCCATCGCTCACCAGCTCCTCGGGGGTGCGGCTCTCGCGTTCACCGCAGCAGCAGCACCACCTGCAGCAGCAGCACACAGACCCCCTGCACCCCGCCATCTTCCTCCTTTCCTGCCACTCCGGACCCCCTAGGCCAACCCCCCCTCCCACCCAGGATCTGCGCCTCACGTGACTGGCCCCGGGAGGGTCACGTGGCCCTCTCGAGTTTAGGGACGGGAGACAGGGAGTGGCTGTAGACGGGTGGGGCGAGAGCTCGCGTCACATGACGCAGTACTAAGCTGGCTTCCCAAGAGACCGCCGGGCGCGGCCATGTTGGGGCGGGACTTCCTGTCGCTCTCTTTGAACTTCCGCCTACCTCTTGTCCTGTTTCCCTTGGCAACCGGCAGCTGCGCCCCGCCTCCTCCTCATGTGCTAGGGAGATGGCGCCGCGACCGCCAAGGTTCTGACAGGACGGTGAGCGGCTCAGAGGCTTGGGACGCCGCGGAGGAATTCGCCGATTAGAGAAATGTGTCACTTCGCCTCCTTGTGGGCCGGCAGCTGGGGGCTGGCCCGTCCTGCGCTCTGCTCTTGAAGGTTCCGGTCGCTCCTCCAGCCTAAGGCACCTCTAGAGGCTGTCATCCCAGCCTCCCTACCGCACGAAAGTATCCCAAGGTTAAAGGAGTCCTGGATCTGAGGCAGTGATCCGGCCTCCGGAGCCGTCTGGGACTCGCATACCCGTCCAGGCCTGTGACCCACTGACCAGGTGACCCGATTCCCGTCCCTCAGGCCACCCAGCGTCAAGGTGGTTGGTTGCCAGCCATAGTGTCTGTCTGTATTCTAGCTCTATAGTGTCTTTCTGTCTAGCTCTATCTGTCTGTCATTGTTTTGTTTTTCGAGACTGGGTTTCTCTGTGCAGCCCTGACTGTCCTGGAACTCTCTGTAGACCAGACTGGCCTAGAACTCAGTGCTTGCCTCTCCTTCCTGAGAGCTGGGGTTTAATATGTGCGCTCCCACGCCTGGCTGCCAGTTTCTTCCTTTCTTTCTTTCTTTCTTTCTTTCTTTTTTTTTATTTTTCAAGACAGGGTTTCTCTGTGTTGCTTTGGAACCTGTTGTGGAACAAACTTGTAGATCAGGCTGGCCTTGAACTCACACAGAGATTCGCCTGCCCCTGCCTCCCTGATGCTGGGATTAAAGATGTGTGCCACCACCACCTTGCTGGCTGCCAGTTTTTTAAAACCTGCCTCCCTGACAGGATCTGGAGAGGAGTGGTGGACCACTGGCTTTGTCACCCAGGTGCCCACAGTGTCCTCCAGTGCACGTATGTCCATTGCAACAGTTTTGGGAGTGATAGGGCTGTTAAGTCAGTGATTAGTAGGTGGCAGAGGGGCATCTTGAGGTCAATGTGGAGGCCCTGGCCATTAGGACTCAGTGAGTACTGGCTGTCACTACTCTACCGGGCACTGGATCTCTGGTCCTGGTCTCGGGCAAGGGGCCAACAGCAGAGCAGAAGGCTAAACAAACTTGTTAGGCCACAGTCTCAACCTTGTGTTGTGGGAGGCCAACTAAAGGGTAGTTGGTGGCTGTTAGTTGAAATTTGGCACGAATTAGAAATGCTTAAATCAGGCAGAGGCAGGCAGATCTCTGAGTTCAAGGCCAGCCTGGTTCCAGGACAGGCTCCAAAGCTGTCCCCCAAAACAAAAACTGCGGGAGTCAGCTCCATAGGATTTGTTTCGGCCACGAGAATGAGGAGAAAGGTCGTGGCTGACATGTAAGGTTACCTTCCTCTTCCTCACTCTCCATGAGAACCGGGCGGTTTTAGGTCAGAACAAAACTGGCCTAAACACACAGGGGATAGCCCTGGCACTAAGCCAGGGCAGAGCTTTTAGAACTGGCTCCTTGACGTGTCTTCTGTGCCTTAAGAGAGGAAGGAAACATGAATTTTTTTTTCCCGATTCTTGAGGCTAAGACCCAAAATGGTACATTGACCTAGAGGTGGAAGTTTCTGGAAAGGAACGAGCCTGACTTGGCTGTTCCTCTGTTGCTCCGCGTCGCCGCCGCTGCACAGATCTCCACTACCGTGTTTGCCCACTCCTGTACAGCAGTCGTGTTTGTTTTGTTTTCAGACGTCTGTCATTTCCTGACCAGACTGCAATGTGGCTCCCTGCCCTGTCAACCGGGCTGCGGCTGCCGTGACCAGGACCGCGTATGCGGAGGCACTGTGGTCACTGATTCCTTTGACCTCAGGGACATACGGGACAGCCTTTGTTCAGAGCTGGACACAAATCCCTAGCCTTAGTGATTTCGGTCAAGTTCTAGCTCACAGCACAACATTGTTTTGTGGAGTAGCGTGAACTCGGGAAATCAGGCTGCCTGGCCATGCTGCTCACAGCCTCTACTGTGTTCCAGGCGGGGCCAGTGGCTGTGATCTGTTCTTTCTTTGGAGGGGGAAACCCAGTGACCCTGAGTGGCTAGTGGCCTAATCTCCACCAACCCCTGCAGTCCCAGCCTGCCCACATTCTCCCCTCCCCCCATCCTTCAGCGGCTTCTTTGACTGGTGCCTGAGTCTTCGCTCCGCTCTAGAAACCTTACTCCCGCCCCTTTGAGTGGCCCCAGCTTTAGCTCAGGGCTCTTTGTCGCAGCTCCGCCCACTTACGCACACCCTCCAGGAAAGGTTCCCTGTTCCTTCCCCAGTCACTCGAGTCGAAGCTGACTGAAATGAACCATCGCGAAGCCAGGGTCCTCCCTGCTGGCCAGTGTTACCCATCTCTAGGAATGTGGGCCTCAGAGGCTGGCCGCGTGAGGCTTTCTGTGCCACCCTCTATCAGGTAGCTGTCACCAAGGATTCCTGAGCTGGAGGATCCAAGAGCGGCTCAGTGCCTAGTGGGAGGTCATCACACAGAGAAGCCAGACGACAGCAGGGGGGCAGAGCACTTAGCGCCTCTGGGTAGGAGCCTTGTGAGCTTCGCCCTTGTCGGCTGCCTTCCTGTGTTGAGCAGCGTTTGCCACTGGAGCTGCCTACTCAGGAGTTGGGTGTACATGGGGTTTGGCGACCAGCCCCCTGATGCCCCCGGCCCCCACCCTGTACAGCAGGAACCCAGCCATGGTGAACGAGGGCAGCAGCAGTGGCAGCGAGAGCTCCAAGGACAGCTCGAGATGTTCCACGCCCAGCCTGGACCCAGAGCGGCATGAGAGACTCCGCGAGAAGATGAGGCGCAGGATGGACTCCGGTGACAAGTGGTTCTCCCTGGAGTTCTTCCCTCCTCGGACTGCTGAGGGAGCTGTTAACCTCATCTCAAGGTGAGTAAGGAGGGAGGTTAAGTAAAGGGGGTCGGTGGAGGGGAACATGAGCTGCCCTTTAACCCGGCAGGAAAAGGCACTGGAGAGGGGAGGCAGGAAGAAGCAGAGGCGAGACAGGGAGTTTTCACTTACAACTTCTTGTCTGCAAAAGTCCCTCTGAGGCACCATCAAATATGTTTGGACACACTCCTGAGCAGGCCAAAAATGTTCATTCCCAGGCCACATTCTTTGGCAGAACGTGGGGCTGGCTCACAAGGAGCTTAGGAAGTCAACAAATAGCAACGCAGGGATTGTGCTGAGCTAGCTGGACACAGGGCGTGTGTTTCCAAATCAGGAAAGGCACGCTTCGTGGTGGCACTCTTTGAATTTCAGTTCCTTTCTTCAAGTCGGAGAGTGCTTTGCTAGGCCCCTGTGCTTTGTCCCCAGCGTCACAAAGAGAAAGGAAAGACAGGCATAGCGGTGCTCAGAGGCAGGAGGATGACTGTGAGTGCAGACCAGCCAGGGTTACATAATGATACCCTGTCTTCACTGGGGGTGGGTAGGGAGGATGTAGCTAAGTTGATGGAGTGAGTGTGTAGCTTGCAGGAAACCCTAAGTTTGATCCCTAACACAACATAAGCAGCTCTAGCTGTCCTGGAACTCACTCTGTAAACCAAACTCAAACTCTCAGAGATCTATCTGCCTCTGCCTCCCGAGTGCTGGGATTAAAGGCCACTGCCCGGCTAAGAAGGCTTCTTTTGAATCTAGTTCAGGAACCCAGCCTTGCTCTGCAATACTGGAGAAAGCTGCATCTGCTGATCCCTGTCTCTCTGCCTTTTCTTAAGTGAGGCCCTCTGCCTGCCACTGCCCTGCCAGGATCCCAAACTCTCAACTTTCAAGACCCTAAACTCACCCAAAACCAGTGAGTGTGCTCGCACTCTGAGAAGCATAAAGTGCCGTTCACACGTTGTTCTCCGCCACTCACTGAGCTCAGGCTCTTCTCTGAGTGCTGCATAGCCGTCTGTCCCAGTACCTTCGCGGACGTGGAGAGGGTACTGTTATCTGCCACATCTTCTAAACGAAGTCACTGTGGCTCAGGGCGATTCTTAGGTGATGCGCCTGGGAAGTAAACACAGTGCTCTGAGAGCAGCATGCATCTGTGCTGCTCCAGCTCTTCCCCCACAACCCCCCACCCCAGGGAGGGTGGGTGAGCCTGATGTTCCTCCAGGAACCCAAACTTAAGAAAGAAATCCCCTACAGGTTTGACCGGATGGCAGCAGGGGGTCCCCTCTTCCTAGATGTTACCTGGCACCCCGCTGGAGACCCTGGCTCGGACAAAGAGACATCCTCCATGATGATCGCCAGCACAGCAGTCAACTACTGTGGCTTGGAGACCATCCTGCACGTGACCTGCTGCCAGCAGCGCCAGGAGGAGATCACGGGCCATCTGCACCGAGCCAAGGAGCTCGGCCTGAAGAACATAATGGCACTGAGGGGAGGTGTGGCGCCAGCACCCCTCCTTTCTGGGTTCTTCCTTTCCTGAAGGCTTCTCCTGTCCCCAGAAAAGTTCTTATTTTCCCTGGGAAAAGTGTACACTG